GGCAAATGTCTTTATGCAAACAAAACACATGGACCATTGGCTTTGTCAGGGTTCTGCTATTTGGAAATTCTGCAAAAAAAAAAAAAAAAAAGAATAATAATAAATACTAAAAAAAAAGAAGGGTTTTTTTTTTTTTAATTTTATTTAAGGAAGTAATTTATTACTTGTCATAATTTCTGCTTAATTTTCAAATGTATTTGTTGGCTACAGAACCATGTTCAATTTTGAATCTTTAAGAATCCCTGATCTAATCAAATTTCTCAAAATTAACTTAGTTCTTTTTCCACTTTAAATTACATTAATTATTAAATGTAATCAAGCTTTCTCACATTTTATCTGTTCCTATACCATAAAACCAGACCTTTCTACATTTAACTCTGTTCAACTGCTGTCAAACCTTATTGGGGGTGGAATCACCACACAAGTGAATTGCCACCACTTTGTCACATAGGAAAAGTAAAGTACATTTTGAACACAAATGTTAAAAAAAAAAAAAAAAAATGTATGACAATGAAAAAACAGTATTGTTTTGCTCCATCTTTATGCTCATGACAAATATTTTTCATTTTCTAATCTTTCTATGCAATCTTTCGGATGAGTAATGTATTTTGAATAGTGATGTTCATCCCTGATTTCTCTTAATCTGTAAATTTTTATTTGCTTGAAATATCAACAGCCTGTTGTATAAACTAGACTTTGTTTAGTATTGTCTTGTATAGAAAATGAATTCATGTAAAGAATTTTAATAAATTTTATTAAAATAAAAAAAAAACCTTTAATTTCTGTTTTGTGTAAAGTTATAGAAACAGAAGTCATGAGAGTTGAGTGAATATTTAGATGTTATCAACTTTATGCACAAAATTATTTTCATTTCTCATTTACATTACATTTAAAAGATATTAAATTTAACCTAAAACTTTCTACTTTAATGATCCATATTCCAAATGTCAACTCTGAATTTGAGCCAGTCATTTTGTGAAATACATCCATTTGATGTTTTGGCATACATCTTTAGTGATGTTTTTAGCCACAGATCATTAGGGGTTTTGAGGTCTTACAACATCATACCCCTTCTTTATGATGACCAAGTTGATACTGATCAGATATTGACTTGTGTATCATCTGTCAGCTACAACTCTTCTCATTACTCTGAGGCTCTCTTAACTCATTGCAACTCCTCCTCAGGTCTTTATATTCCAATCAAGCAATTTCTGATTCAACAGTCATGAATGTTGTGTGTTGCCATTATTTTTACAAGATATAAAACATTAGGAAGGATAATTTTTGTATGGAGATTTTGCCAAAAAAAAAACCAACTCCTCATATGAAGTTTTGCCAATTGAAACACTAAAACCTATGAAGTACAGTTCAATTGATTTGATGAAAAAAATATTTTGGAACACCTTAATTAGCTTATTCATTGAATATATAAACAGATGCTGAGTTTGCTAACAACTTAGTTAAACTATAAATGCCTAATTCAATTTATCAATGTTAATTTTTTTTTCTTCTACAATGGAACAAATTAGTTGATAATTTGGTATTTATGTACATAAAAGTCAATGAATAGAAAAAAAAAACATTAAGTTGTTATGAAATATGTTTACAGACTTACTAACATCTTGTACCCCTCCCACTCCACCAAAAGAGGGTTATACATTTTTTTTCTGACTAACTAACCAGAAGTGGATTCATGCCAACTGATAGACTCGGCACAAGTATAGACATTTTCTAGTTTTTCTTCCTACATACTTTATATTATTAAATATAAATATTTTTTTATTCATCACAAAAATTAAACTCTGTCACCATACAATAAAAACAATTTTGATATCTTGTAATATTCAAATTGTCAACACTCAAGTTAATCACAAAATCAAAAATATTTTTTTTTCTTTTTTTCCTTCTATCAGACGGAATAAAGAAATGGAAGATAAGCATTTTAAAAAAAAAAAAAAAAAAAAAAATATCAGTTTAAGGGAACAAGTAGTGTCTTGCCTCCTACTTTGTACTCACAATAGGCGCTCCTTAATAAATCCAAAATGACCAGAAGTAGCAATTTGTCCTGGAGAATTTGGAGATTTTATTTGTGATACTTTAGTTACCATCATTAACTGCACACAACTGAAACAACACTTAACCTGGTGCTATTGGCCTATATACCCGTATTAAATACATTCCCAAATGTGATAACCTTAAAAAATTTATCATACTCATTGGGTCATTTCTTAGGTTATGATTACATGTTCCCTGCCCTGCCCGCCCCTAAACATACACAGATGATGCATTGAAGTAAATGTGTTTGCAATAAAAATAATAAAAATGTTTTGCAATTCGTTTTAGCACTTTCTCAATGACTACAAGGCATCTGGTTAAATTCAATCAATTTACAAATGGAGAAAAGTAATGAGTGCTTTGTTCATGTCATTTAGGAAAATCTGTGATAATTTTATCAAATTTATACAAGATACTCTTAAGAAAATGGCCACTAGAGATTGTACATCAATAATCAATGCCTGTATCAGCAATTTATTGAAAAATAAAAATTAATTCACATTAGCAGAATTCAAAATTTCCATGAAAATGATTTTTTTTTTTTTTTAAGTTAATTTTCATTTATGCATTAATAAATTCTGCTTTTTTTCTCCTCTCCCCATTTTTTTTTTATGTATTGATTTGCTTAACTGCCAGTTTCTATAGATCACATTTTCATAGAAAATGGAATAAAACAGTTGAACTTGAATCTGCAAGTTTTATTAGGAATGATAAATATTATAGTGCTACATAATTCTCATTTTTATTTCAGTTTCCTGCCTAAGTCTTGTGAATATTTCTGGGTAATGTGAAAAAGTTCAAAATATTGATTAGCTCTAAGCATGTTTTTCAGATTTGCTTTCATCATTTATCAACTACAGAATTTATTTTATTTTGGCTCTTACAATAAAGAACCAAGCTTTTATTTGAAAGGACTTCTTTTTTTTTTTTTCTTGTTAGGTTATGATATAATATATGGAAGGTGATTCCACACTCACTAATGTCCCCATTAAAGTATTCACTAGATAGTAAAAATTCATATAACTGTTTTTGAATATTGTCCCCCCACCCCTGGGGGGAAAAAGAAAACTTATCTGCAGTAACAATGGCTATAACTTGTTTAATATTTCAACTGACAGTTTCTAACTATTGACTTATTGTTGCCATTCATTTTGAAAGGGATTTCAAAATTTTTCACTGTGTACATGAAATTTCATCATTTATACTTTGGTAAAAGTTGCTCAAATTTTGCTCAGTCCCATTTTAGCAAATATTGAAAAACATCAACTACAAAATGTTGGATAACAAAATTTCCACATCATGACTATTACAGTTTAAAAATACAGGTATTGTAGGTAGATTATAGAAATTTCACTCTTGCATGCAGATTACCGTACAGATGGCAAATATTACCCCTATCGTACATTATTTCATGCCTTTTGCAATTATTGATACAATATAGCAAGAGTTGTAGCTGAATGAGACCAGTGTTGTCCCATCATGTCCTAGAGAGGTATGGCAATTGAGCAGGGAAATTTTCAAACATCTTACAAGGGATATTGAATATTATGGGCATTATGTGAGCAGGCATTACCCTGCTGTTACAGAAACTGCCTCAGAACATGTATCATATTCTGGTTATATGGCATTGTTTAACATTCTTTCTGCAAATACCAAAGGCAAGTAAGAGTCATAAACTTTATGGTATGACATACCTTGATGTTAGGGGTTGGGCTTGTGCATTGTGGGTAAACACAGTGGAAGGTGTAGTTTCTCAAGGCAATGGTGCACATGCAAATGATCATTACTTGTATGAAGGCTAAATCTATTGTTGTCACTGAACACTTATTTGATTTCCAACCTTTTTCAAAGTAACTCTCTTATGACAACATTGGAGATATGCATGACTGCACTGTGGTGTGTGAGTAAAAAGACTGGCTAGAGGAAGGTCTTGTCTTGTAGTCCTGCCTCTCTACAATGTGGGTCATCTAGAAAACCTGGTCTTTGCATATAGGAAATAATGATCATTGCCTACATGTAAAAGCACCACCAACACACAATGTCTACCAACATGTGCAACAATTTTCTGAAATAACCATCTAGCATCTTAAAGAGAACCCCCTTCTAAAACAGCTCAAAATGAACCAAGAGCATGTGTGCATTTTGCTGGCATGATATCAGCTTCGGCACTTTCATCATCACACTGAACAATATTACAGCATGTGTCACAATCTTTTAGTATTACTATGTTACAAGATGACCAAAGACCAAAAATTTTAACAGAATACCTACTACCATTCATTATGAATATACTGTACCTAGATCAAAATTGGCATTGTCCTTCAGATTGTTGCCATTTTAATTCACATCTCTCTCTCTCTCTCTCTCTCATATATGGAATCATCACCAGCTTGCACACCACCTGCTAACAGTCTGAATCCATAGCCTTGTGTAATCTTCTCTATCCATAAACTCTATTATCTATTAAAAAGAGCTAGTTAAAATTCAATTAGTTTGGCCAGCCAACATGGCACCAGTCTTCTATGATTCGGTGGCAATGTTCTATGACCCAGGTCAAGTGCACTACCTTTGGAATGAAGTGCACACTTTACAGCTTGTTGACTAATGGATTTAGTGGCACCAGCATTGAATTAGGATGTGATTTGATACAATGGTCACATTCATTGTATGTTTGGCATCTTTGTGATTCACTGGTGGGGTGCCTTTTTCTTGCATTATCTGTAGGTATCAACATTCCATTTTTCTGCTGTTGATGCCTGTCTAGAATTTACAAGTGTACTCTCTCTTCATACAGTTGTTGGAGGGATAAATCTAGAACAGTTGTGATGTTGGAGATTCCTTCTTTTTGGGCCCCAACAATCATTCTGTGGTCAATGTTAAGTCTTATCTGCAGTCTATGCCACAGCCACACTACTACTTTATCCAGGATATTGCACATCATCCAGATGAGTTTATTTCTACAAGTGAGAGAGTGGGACTATCCAATGTACTGTTGTTTCTAAATGTTTGGCACTTCAGTTTAATAAATGTTATTTTGATTGCAATTGACTTGTGAATAGTTACTGTGCAGTATGAATGTCTTTAGAATGTCTGAAATTTGTTAATTATCCTCAGGCTTCTCTCACCATTATTGGATTTGATTAGTGGAACACTCTCAATTCATATGACACAGATTAATGGTTATTATGAATCTCTGTAGGCCAGAACAAAGCCCTCTCTCCGTTCCACTTTCTACAAAATCAATGAATCCATTCTCTTTTACTCAGGGTTTTATTACCACAGATTTCCTGTGTATGCGATTCTATTTCATCATCAATAGAATTCTGTTTGTATGAAACTTGTTAAGCTCAGGGAATACCAAGTCATTTTGGATGAAATGAACTTATGATATTTTAATAACTGAATTGAAGTATTGAACAGAAATTTTATGATTGTAGGATTAGGAATAATTGGAAGAGTCAAAGGATGATAATGAATGATGTCCTACATTTTTATCTTTTATTTTATTTTTTTTCTTTTACATCATGCTTTACTATTAATTCATATGAACCAAGCAAAAATAGACAACAGGTGTTAATGAGGATATTGAAGGATATTTGTCATTTAATTTCTTATGGTTAGCTTGTTATAAAACTATTGATTAAGATAAATGTCCATAATATTATGATAGATCTCTCTCTCTCTCTCTCAATATGATTGTCAGTAACAAATGGATGATTATAATTGCTTATTATTCATTATATTAAAACTTTGTTGATTTCAATAAGATATTGAATAAGGAATAGAGTAGAAGTATTTTTAAATATTTTCATAACATTCTTTTACCATAAGATGCAGTTTTTCTTGGTTTATCTTTTGATGAAATTGGAAGAGTACTCCTTGGATATGCCAAGCATAGATTCTAATTGCTTTAGCATAGAAACTGGAAAGTAGTTCTTGGGCTTTCTGTTTTGTTTTTTTGCTTTTTTTTTTTTTTTTGTTTTTGTTTTCTATTTTTTTTATTTATTTATTATTTTTTTTAAAAGAAGAAATCCCAAGGGGCACCTGTATTTGAAAATTAAGTTTTATTTTTTTTAATCCCATTTAATGTACTCATTAAATAGGTAACCTCTTATTCTGGCTTGCCTAAGTCCTTCACTCTATCTTTAAATGAAAATAGTTTATCAGAAATAAGTATAAAATTAAACAGTGATTTATTATATTCATTTTGTTTTTGTTTTTTCTTTTCTTTTTTTAAAATTTCTTTCAGGAGGATTTGCATTTGAATAATAGCCATAAAGAAAAGGCACTTGACCAGTAAGTATTTCTCTTCTAATTTCCTATTTAACAAAGCAATAGAAAGAAGAAAAAAAAAGAAACTTGACAAATAATATATAATAAAAAATTACCAGACAAAAAGAATCATTTTGAAGCATAAACTTAAGATTCAGATTTAAAAAAAAAAAAAAAAAAATTAAACCCTTTCACATTAACAGCCATTTTCCCCCTTAATGATAAAAAAATGTATAAAAAAAAAAAAAAAAAGTTAGGATCTTCTAAAATACTGGTATGTCTTTCATTATCAACATTTTAGTTTATCTTAGCTTGTCATAACTTTATTATACTATATCCTTATAGATTAGAAATATAAGATATGGTAATATATAAATAGATGCTGATTAGCTGATGATATCAATTCATTCAATCTTTGGATCATGTTTGGCTGACAATGTACAATATAAGAAAAAAATCAGTTTTTCACAATGTATTTATTATTTTAGCAAAAGTAATGACAAAAAAGTGTTTGAAATCATACCTAAAAAAAAAATTTGACCAGTTTTAGAATTTTATTTACCACTGGCTCAGTAATGCCACTGTACAAAATTTATCACATTTTCCAAAATATTTTTAAAAGACTTTTAAGGAATAAAATAAAACTGTGGTTTCATTTAAAACTCGTCTTGGAATCGAGAAATAAAATTTCTTTGTCCTTTAAAGAGAAATATTGAGCAAATCCATCATAAACGTATTAATATTCCTTTGTTGCCCACCCAATATTAATATTATCTTATTGTTTTTTTTTTTTTTTTTTTTTTTTGATAATGCTTGTATTTTTTGTAATTTTTATCGTCAACTGGATTTGGTATTTAAGTTTCCACTAAGAGCTTATCACAAAACTGTTCGTAAGTCATTTAATCAATTTTTTCCCATGTTAAATTTAAGGACTAATTCTTGAAGAAAAATGCCTATTTTTATTTATTTATTTTTTTTATTTTTTTATTTTTTTTTAAGATAATTCCTTGATAAAATTCAATGCACCTTTCATATCTCTTAATGGTTAACTTTTCTGTTTTACATTTTCTCTGAATAAAAAAAAAAAGGTTCTCAGTTTCATATAGGTACTCTCACTTTTTTTTTTCTTCTTTTTTTTTTGTTCTCTCTAAAATGATTTTTAAAAATTTCTGCTCGGTCTTGTATGCAAAGTGTAAATATCTAGTAGGCTAATGTTTATCCAGAAATTGTAACCTACCAATACTTATAACTAGCCTCAGTCTATGATATAGTCATATTATATGTAAATGTCATTAAATAGAGTAAATACATTATAATTTTTATAGGTGTTAACATTTATTAAGACTTTTTTTTTTGTTTTGGATTGTTGAGAATGGAATCACTTGTGTTATACATGTTGATGAGAATCTGCTAAGATTTGCCACTTCTTTTTTATATAATTTAAATTTTTTGAAAAATAGATCTCTCTCTCTCTCTCTCAATGTGGCATAAATGCTGTTACAAAATTTCAAATGAATTCTACTTGTAATTTTTGGGTCATTACCTTATTGTTTATGGTTTGATTTTTAAAACTGGAAAATAACTTGGAATCAATAAAATGTTTATCAAAAGGCCAATCGATTGATATGAGACTTCCTCTGTCAATGATAGACTGGGACCAGGATGTCCTCTCACCTTTAGACTGCCAAAACTAATTAAACAAGTGTGTGAAAAAATCAGATGTAATAAAAAAAATTCAGTGAGAAAATTGGCTAAGAAGGCTGGAACATCAGAGAACACCATGTGGAGGCTGTGTCAAAATGATTTAGGGATGTCACCTTACGAGATGACCAAGAGAGAACTTCTTTCAGCAGTCTCGATGAAAAAGAGGCTTCAAAGAAACATCATCTTCACTGATGAAAAACTGTTCACTGTTAAACAGACTTTTAATCATCAAAATTCATCAGTCAGTTGCTGATGCTTCATGAAAATGCCTAAGAACCCAGAATCTGGCAACAATTATGTTTTGGGCAGCCATTTCATAAAGAGGAAAGTCTTGTCTTGTTTTCATGCCTCAAGTAGTAAAGATCAACAATGAAGTGTATGTAAAGAACCACTTAGAAGGGCACTGAAGCCTTGGTGCAATGCCACTTATGGTAATGAACATTGGACACTTCAACAAAATGGAGCAATGATCCATACTCCTTGTGTAACACAGCAGTGGTGCACAGACCATTGCCCTTGCTTCTTTACCATGGATGAATGGCTTCCTTCATCAACAGACATCACTGTTCTTGAATATTGTTTGTGGACTTTTCTTTAGTGTGAGACCTGATCTATTCTGTATCACAATATTGAAGCTCTGAAGGCAAAATTGAAGAGAGTATAGAACAAATTTGTAGGCTGATATAATAATTTTTTAGGATTTATGAGCTTTTCCTTTTGTAACAGTATTTATGCTGCATCACATACAAATATATACACACACACACGCGCGCGCTAAAAAATGTTTTTGTTATTGAAAATCTTCTCCCAAAACACAATTGCTCGACTCAATCTCCAAAAATGCTTTTTTCTATAATTATGACTTTGGGTCAATTTTTGCTTTACTTTCAGATTTTTGTTGCATGCATTTGATTTGTAAGCATTTTTAATTGATGCAGTTTTTGTTGTTTTCATTTTATTACAGAAATGTTTATTTGCTAATGCATTATTGGCTTAAATCTATTTTATTTTTATGACTTTTTGACACCATTTTCTCTTTGACATTCTAGTAACAAAACACTTTTGTCAATCAAATTTCTAAGTTGTTCCATTAAGCATCTTTAGTCTTATAGTTTAAATTAATAATTGAAATCATATCTAGAATTTTTCCCTTTTCTGTGACTTAAATAAAAATACATATTTTTTTTTCTCAATGATGGGAGCCAGTACAAGCTTGTATGAAACTGGATTGGGAGGGATGATAAAAAGACAAGTGTTACTACAGAAGATAGAAAGTTGTGAAGTGCCATGACGGATCTCAAGAGACACAGTACATAGAAGAACAATGGATGGCCTGATTTTTTGTTTATCTTAAGTTTTTTTTTTACTTCAGTTTAATTGCAAGAAAAATAGCACAAATAGACAAAAATAATAAATATTTTTATATATTTTTTTTTTTTTTTTTTTTTTTTTTTAACCAAAATTACTTATATTATTCTATAATTAAAGAAAGTTTGCTTACATTTATGACCATCTCATGGAACAGTTAAAGTATCTTCTTTTATGTGCTGTGTTCCTTCAGGACATAGGCAATCACGGTCTTCTTCCTCTTCCTGTCCCTTGTAGCTCTTAATAAGTTTTGTCTTTTGCTTATTTCTCTCAAAACCCTGTTCCGCCATCCACTTGCTCAAGCCCATCAAGTATGTTACATGCTGCTTTCCTCTGTCTCTCAATCTGTCTCGTGAGTATCAGATTAATGACATTCCTTCTTCCTTGTTATATGCCCCAGAAATTTCAACTGTCTCTTCCTGATGTTAAGTATGAGTTTCCTTTTTGTTTTCATTCTTTCCAAAACTTTGTTGTTGATCACATGTTCGGTCCATGGTATTCTCAGCATCTTTCTGTAGAACCACATTTCTTTTGCTTTAAGTCTCTTCCTCATCTTTGAGAAGATTGACCAGCATTCGCTGGCATACAGGAGGACAGATATCACATAACAGCTCAGTACTCTTTTCTGTTTCTTTGTGCAGAGAAATTTGTTCTACTAAAAGTGTTTAAGGTAGCCAAAGGTAATAGTTTTATCAGCCATATATACATATTACATTTTCTGTACAAAATCTAGTATTTTTTATATATATAGTCAATGTGTCACACCCTTTCAGTTAAAGGGACACAACTCTCTAATTTTTAATAGCTCAGGTTACAGAAATTTGGGATTTCCAAGTTTTCATTACCGTGATTATTTTCAGCATTTTTTTTTTTTTTTTTTTTTTTAATTTTTTTTAAAAATTTTTGTATAACAATTGTTATAACTTTGAAATAAATTTTGGGATAATCAAAATTATGTAATACTGCTAAAGTCAACCATGAAATAAAAACAATTGTTTGTATGGGAAGTAAGGACCTACATACATCAAATAGCAGTATACCTCATAAAAAGAAATCTCTGCCAACAGAGGACCAGATTGCAATCAAAAGAGCCAAGGTTGCAACAAAGAAAAGAAAGTCCCATGCAAATAAAAACCCAGATCCAATGGCAGCCAGGGGAGCTTCCATTGCTGAGAATATGCAATGACTTATGGATTCTCAAACTCTTAAACAAGCCAAAGGCCCAATCAAGAGCCCTCTGCAGGAGATAGCTTAAATGCCTCCTGATAGTGTAGCGTTTTAGCTAATATATATGTTATAAAAGTGCTCAATATCCAGGAAAGAGCATATGTAAATATAGTGTGGACACAGTTCAACACCAAATAGCGAGTCTGTTTCATGCTTGAACACAATCTGCTGGTGATGTGGGTTGGATCATATCCAATAAATATACGAAAAATATTCATTAAACTCTTCCACAAACTCTTCCCTCCATCAAGCATTCTCCACAAAGTTTTCAACAGAAACACATTAAAAATTCAGCTATAGTTGCACAGAGAACAACACAGATAATAAAAAAATAACAGAAAAATAACCTTAAAATCACCTGCACCAATTAAACTAACCAGCCAGCCTGTAAAGCAATATAATATACCAAACCACCATAAAAACAGTAGATAACAAACAAAAGATATACATAGGAGTAACTGAAGGATCCTTGAAACAGAAAAACTATACACACAAAATATATTTTAACACTAAATAAGTGAACAATACAACTCTTTAAACATACATGGGAACTTAAAAAGAAAATATACCAAAAATATGAAAAATAAGGAAAAAAATACCAGCCCACAACAGTATCACTAAAAACTGAACTTTGTCTAGAGGAGAAAATGGCTATAATCACCTTTTTTAGGACAAATTACTAAAAGATCAGATCTTGTCTCAAAATGCAGACGTGAAAACAAATTTTTACTGCATTACTTAAAAAACAAAACCTAAAACCCAATATCTTGTAAAGCATCACTATGAAAAACACAAATATATATTATGTACACCACAGATAAGGTAATATACTTAAACAAAACATATTAGATACTCCACCCTCCCAAAATAAATAAATAAAAGAAATAATAAAGAAATAGACAAACTACAAAACAATGGAAACTCAGTATGATATAAATTTAATAATAATATTAATAATCATTAATGAATAAATACAAAATACACTACAGCAATTAATCATAATAAACGTGATTTAAAAGTTAACAACTCTATACAATAGATGTGAAAAAAAATGCTTCCTGGTGCACAATTAGTTCTATTCAACAGCCATTAGAATAACACAATAACTGAGCTTGTTACCCATAATGCTCTAATGACTAACATATATATAGTATCCAACCCACATGACTTTGAAGATTGCATTCAAGCAGGAAACAAACTGTTGAACTCTCCACACTCTTTCTTTCTTTTTACATACGTTTTTATATTAGAAATTTCCCAGTTGTCTCTTGAGGCATTCTTAAAGGAAATTCTGGATTCTATCAAGCAATTGTCCTCGAACAAAGCCCCTGGAAAAGATGCTATTCCCCCCGAAATTGTTAAATATGGTGGGAAGACTCTGGTTAAGAAGCTCTTTGAGTTTTTTAAACTCATATGGAAGGTTGGTTCTGTTCCACAGGACTACAAAGATTCTTGCATAAAGCATCTGTTCAGGAACAAAGGTAAAAAGGTTGTATGTGATAATTTCACGTGGCATTGCACTTCTAAGTATCGCTGACAAAATTCTCACTCGTGTTATTTTCAACAGAATAATCAAATATCTCATTAACAACATCTATCCTGAATCTCAGTGTGGTTTTCGTTCAGGTCGTGGAACCATTGATATGATTTTTTCATTTTGTCAGGTTGCTGAGAAGAACCATGAACTCTGTCATCTTTATCCATCTGACCAAAGTGTTTAAACAGAGGTGCTCTCTGGAAAATACTCAAAAAGCTTGGCATACCTAAAAGTATGCTAAATATCATCATCTTGTTTCACAAAGGAGAATGAAAGCATCTGTTCTATTTAATGGAGAGTTTGACGTAACAAATGGCACAAAACAAGGTTGTGTCTTGGATCCTGTACTTTTCACTCTGTTCTTTTCAGTCATGTTGCACCATGTCTTTAGTGATCTTGACATGAGTATGAAATTTGAATTCCACACAAGTGGCAGCCCCTTTAACCATCAATGTTTTAAATCAAAATCGCTGACTCTAGCAAGCATTATTCATGATCTTTTGTTTGCTGATGACACTGCGATCGTGGCCAACTCAATCAAAGAAGCTCAAGCACTCGTCAATCGTTTTTTCACTGCTTGCAATGCATTTGGATTAACTATAAGCATAAATAAAACTGAAGTTGTCCATCAACCAAGGCCTACACCTAAGCAGATCAAGGGTGTAAAACAAAAACCACTGTGCCATGTGTCCTCAAGGCGTTGGTTAGATCCAGTGACAGGACCCAAAGAGTGTGAGTTCAATACCTGGTTAAGGCAGTAGAGAACTTTCAGAGGGAAATTAGCAGGAGATAACTGATAACTGACATCCATCAAACATGGCACATGGAACTAGAACAGTCTACTCCAGTGAGCAAAATAAAGGGTTCAGTTCGAAATTCTAACCACCTGAAGAAGGCCGGAGCGTACAACGGCCGAAACATTGTGATAAATATGGGGACAAAGATGAGGACAATAGTCCGAATACTGTAAATAATGTACATAATACCTCATCTCAGAAATATAGACAGACTTTGAATGATTCCCTACACAAAACTAGGCACTTATCCCATGACTTTTGGCACCTCAGTGTAGAATAAATGAAAAGAAATAAGAAAATAAAGAATAATTTTCTGGAAATGTTTTAAATCCAAAGTTAAGGCTGCATGAAAATGAATCTATATCATTGTCAGTGATTGCCTTTGTTGATGAGTGACTCACTGTTGGCATGTGTTAATTTGAAACCTAGAAACACTTAATCTCAATAATTTTAGATCAAAATTCCTAGAACATTATTTGTAAGTGTACAATGCTGGCTACTTATTAGTATTACTGCATTTCTATTACTTTCCAAAGGAAATCAACCAAATAGATAATTTTTATATTGCCTTATTATCATAGAGACACGTCTCCTCCTTGCAAAACCAACTAATTCAAACTCTGACACTTTGTACAAATTTGTCAGTCTTCTTTGGTTTGTTAGATGGCAAATAATTAAAATTTGAAACTTTAAACATGAGTTCTTGCCCTGTAAAATAATCCATTCTTATTAAATTTCAGTTTCAAAAAGCTAAATTTATTTTGATCAATATTTGATATTTTTCACTTTCCAGATTGGTAAATATTTTTCAAAAGCCATGTTTTGATTCACTTGCTTGATCTGAAAGCTATTTTATGGTAAATTGTTGGGTGGTTACTATCAACATTTCAAATCCTGGACATTAAAATAAATAAATAAATAAAAGAATGACTTTTGACTTTTAGTCAAAAATGTTTTTTTCAAATTTGAGCAATTTTTTTTTATTGTTTGCTATCTGATATTTTTTAAATTATGAACAATTTATAAAGGTACCCATTTTTCTCTATCTATAGTCCTATAACCAAAGAATAGGACTATATATTTGAAATACTTTTTTGTCTATAAATATGTTTTATGGATGTTCATTTCTTTTAAAAAATCCTTTTTATTACTTTAGTTCATTGCTTGAAATGAAACCTTTTTTTGTCTATTTCTTTCTATTAATCTTACTAAAACTAATCTATAGAATCTTGGTAAACCTACATATTAGCAGTATCCATTGTGTTTACCTCTCACTCACTACAAATTTAAGTGAATTTTATATTGATTTTCTTTTAATCATATATTTATGTATTCACCTTAGAAAAAAACTTATTCTTACAACCAACCTTTGATTACTATTTATAATGAAGATGACTAATTATTCGATTTTAAAAATACAAATTTCAGTGTTACTATTTGTTTGTAAATGTTATTGGGGATATCATCATCATCTCTTATGACGATGATGTAAACTGATTGAATTAATCCACAAAAGTAGTTTATAAATAGAATGGAAAGGGGAATCAGTTTTGGCTTTTAACAAATTGTTTGATTTGCTTGAGAAGCCATTCTTTATTGAATTAAATCAATAGTAATAATTTTTCTTTTTAAATTGGCCTCCTCTATTTAAAATACTTAAATAAAACAATATATCTGATGAAAGGTCAATTCATAAACTTCATAAAAATGTTTCTGTTCAAATTGCTTATATTGAATAAGGATGAATGTGTATCGTGCCCCCTCTGGTAGGATTTGAATGTGTATCGTGCCCCCTCTGGTAGGATTTGAATGTGTATCGTGCCCCCCTCTGGCAGGATTTGAATGTATCGTGCCCCCCTCTGGCAGGATTTGAATGTGTATCGTGCCCCCTCTGGCAGGATTTGAATGTGTATCGTGCCCCCTCTGGCAGGATTTGAATGTGTATCGTGCCCCCTCTGGCAGGATTTGAATGTGTATCGTGCCCCCTCTGGCAGGATTTGAATGTGTATCGTGCCCCCTCTGGCAGGATTTGAATGTGTGTCCTCTCGTGCCCCTCTGGCAGGATTTGAATGTGTATCGTGCCCCCTCTGGCAGGATTTGAATGTGTATCGTGCCCCCTCTGGCAGGATTTGAATGTGTATCCTCCTTCATAGGAGAAACTTTGCTCATTCCAACATGGTTGATTCTATTTTTTTTTTTTTTTTTTAGAGACATTTCAATATTTGAATTTTTTTTTTTTTTTTTTTTTATTTCAGTCAAAATTTGAACTTGCTGGATACAATTAATGTCTTTAGTCAAAAAAGGTAAGACTTTATTTTAAACTTTAAAGATTTCCTTTTGTATTATTATTAGATTAAAATTTCTGGTGCAAAAACAAAAATCCCAACACTCCCTTAATATTTTCCTCTTTGGATTTTTAGTTTTTCTTTTCATAACCTTTGCACTCTGCTATGTCTTTTCCCTATAAACTAACCAGACGATCAACTGATGTAAGGTTCAATTTTTTTTATTTTTTATTTTTATTTTTTTTTTGTAATATTCTTCTCTATTCAGACAGTTTGAAAATTCAAGAATACAATAAGATTTAAAAAAAAAAAAAATGTTCGATATTTAAGAATGAGTAAATCTTTATAATTTGATCAGACAGTCAGTGGGTGGAGGTTGTCAACATATTTTGACCTTATGTAACTTTTCTTTCTTTTCTTTTTTTTTTTTTTTAAGCATGTTTTTGATGCAGCTAAGTTTTAGAGTCAGTTTGCTTAATTTTTGGGAAATGTTTGTCAATAAGTTTGATATTTTGTTTTTACATTTTTATTATGGAGTTGGTTGGACAGCCATATAATGCTTTTTTTTTTGTTGTTCTGTTTGGTGTAAATGTAAAAAAAACACCTGGATTGTTATTTCATAATCATTTTTGGCTTTAATAAAATTAATCTCATTGAGATTTGTTTTAATGTTGATTTCAATCCTATTTGTTTGAAAATTTTTATAATTTATTTTCTATTTTATCTGTTTTTGATCTGTTGCAGTTTCTTAGCTTATCTTTTTTTATTAATAATCATAGGTAGCTACTACTATATATATATATATATATATATATATACACACACACACACACACACACAATCTTGATAAGATATAATTATGTATAAATTTATATATCAACAAACAGTATTTAGAAAAATATGACAAACTGAAAAATTTCTTGTGACGCATTTCATTTGTTAAGATTTCATTTCAAAGTCAAGTTTGATGAAATCCTATTGGATGAAATGTGTCACAAGAAATTTTCTAGTTTGTCATATTTTTCTAATATATATATATACACACACACATACACACATTTATTCCAACCAGTTAAGTTTTTGTTTCTCCATAGTTTCTCATGGTTACATCAAATAATTTATTTTTTTAACAATACTGTTTTGTTGTTGAAGAGTAGTAATCTCTGGCAGTGATATATAATTTTTAGTTGATTGTGATTTTTATGTATTTCTTTGCTAGGGAGATAACCTTATTTAATATAGATTCAATGATAGATGTATGTATATCTTTCATGTTACAGAACCAGTCTATTACTAATCTGTTGGTTTAGGCCTGAAGTTGTTCTTTGTTCAGAGTTAATTTGTTCTAGCATAATTTTAATTAAATTTCCTATTTTACTTTTTGTTGGGTTATCGCTGAAGTATTCTTTTTAGTGTGATGAATACTTGTGATCTTGCGAGATAGTTTAAATGATCAGCTTGGTCAAGATTTTGTGTAATTTCTTAGGCTTTGGGTCTGTTTGAGTTTTTCAGTATTTTATGGTTATGTTTTCTCTAACTTGTGTTCTTGGGGTTTTTAGCTTGTAAATGTTTCTAGTTTTAGTGGCCAGGATGAAGGTGTTGGGTGACATTATTATTTATTTTAAATGCTGTCTTAGGAATGTGATTCTTAAGCAATTTTAAGTTTGCTTATGTTCCTTAGGGCCTTTTCAAAATTACCTATTTCCTTTGGTTATGATAGGCATTATGTTATATTCTTGATTTAATATATTTTTTTTTCCATTTCCCTCTCACTTTTATTAAATAAGATTCAATATTTTTTCTATTAATTTTAATTTGCATAATAGTGAAGTAGGAATGTTCTTTCATGAGTAGATTTGATGTTGGAATTTTGTGTCTGTTCATTGATGTAAATACAATGAATGCTCTGTAAAGGTTTCCAGGAGTTTGGTATAAATATATATTATGCTCTGATATTGATCACTCTTCTTTTCTAAATATAACAAAACTTAAATTATAAACAAGCTAAAAGAATAATTGGGAGATGAGGTAAATTTCCAGGTATTTCTTGCTGCCAGGTTCTGAAGTGATTTTTTTTTTCGTAGGTATTGAAAGATTATAAAAGTAATAAAAAAATTATTGAAATATCAATTTAATATGCGGATATAATTGTCTTAGTTGGATTTAAAAGAAAGAATTATTCTTTATATTTGACTGATTCTTAACTCAACATAAAATCAGACGAATGTTTCCGACAGATGAGTGGTGGGTAGTAGGGTGGGAATAAATGTAATCCCTTTTGGAAGGGGGGGATCTAGGTTAAAACCTTTTATATTGATTCATTAGTGTTAATTTCATTATTTCACGATCATCTAATTTTAATCAAATCTCGTCTGCATAACAAAACAGCATTTTGTTCTGCTTGTGTTTTTTTCATTTGCTTTACAGTTTCATTCTAATAATGAAGAAAACTTTTTTTTCATTTTTTGCTGTTCATGATACAAACTTCTTTATTTCAGTCTTTCTTTTCTCTTCATCTTGTAATAAAATCTGGACATTCAACACGGATATCAACCGACTTAGTATTTCTCCAGGAAAGAGACTTATCTACCTTTTTAAGGTTCCTTTTTTTTTCTATTGCTGCTGAGCTGATTTTAATATTCTTCAAAGTCATTGCTTGAGAAACAACTCTTTGCTTTGGCTAGACAATATTACATATAATAGTTTGAATTTTTTTTCTTTTAATAACCAAGTAATGCCTATCAACATACAAAAGTTTTTGTGTGTAAGAAAGGTTAAATGTGTAGTGGTTTCAATCTATACAACCACAACTTTTGAATTAAATGAAATGATAAAAAAATATCACATTTTTTTCTTTCTGCATACAAGGGAAACTATTTTACCACATTAACATCCTTGAATTTTTTTTTCTTTGATTTGTGGGGAAAATGAAATAAAATCAATATATAAGATAATAATAATGAATAAAAAGAAATACATTTTCCCATGATGCTAGTAATAAAGGAACCAGAAAGTTTATTACCACACTTCACTTTTCCAAATGCCCATTAGGTGGTGCTGTTTAAGTTACTTCCTAATGACAGCTTTCATACATGTTTTACAGCCCCACTCTTGAAGAAAGTACTTTGGTCATTCCAACTCAATGCAAGGCTGAATTGAGCTCAACCATTTTAAGCATTCTTATCCTTACTTACCTTTTGACCAGAAAAAGACTTTGAGAAATTTGTTTCACTACAGAGAATGGTGCATAGTAGAAACCCAAGTTTCTGTATGCTTCTTCTTTAATTGTTTACATACAAACATGCAAAATATCCACACACACACACAAAGAACCTTCAGACTTCCACTTTTATATATTTTCAGCAGACCTTGTTAATGTCTACAGCCTAAACAAGAGAATTTGTGGCTTTGTTTCTCTGTCAATGACTTGTCTTCTTTATTTCTAACATAAGCTTGAAAATCTTTTAACCAACCACAAATTTGTCAAGTTCCATCTCTTCTCTCCTGTTTTGCATGCAAACTAATTTTGACTTAACCTTTTTCTATTGTCTTTGTAATATTGCAACTAACAATGTTGATTCTTTAATATTTCACTAAATCTACATTCTCATAGTAACTGAACAATTTAGAGTTGGTCAAAAATAAAACAATTCCATCGAAATTAAGGGTTTTTTAATTCAGTAAATTTTCAATATTTTGGCCTTCTAAGTTTCTTGGACTCTACAATTAGCATCTTAATTCTTTTTGTAATCTGCTATTAGACAAAACCCAACAATGCTTACATAAAATCTTTTCTTTTTTTTTTTTTTCCTAAGTCTAATACAACGTATAACAATGGAAAAAGTAAAAATTAGTTGCATTTCAATTAATGTGATTTGTAAAGGAATGCTGTTTATATCTGAATTTATTATTACCCGTCTGTTCATTTGTATGAACATGAAATTCTTGCAATCCTTTTCTGACCAGTTTTCTAAAACTTCTCTCTCTTAACTGATTTTATCCATGTTCACAAATTTTAAAAATTTGGTGAAAAGTTAAAACTGATAAAAAAAAAAGATGAAGAAAATTTGGTTGCGGAAGCTTGTGATGGTAGTGGAGTGGTAATATGATCATAACAAGTGTTGCATTCTGTGTCATCTCGCAATCTCACACTACTGATAAAACTGTATCAACAAAAAGGTAATTTATTTTTGGTATTTGTTTTTATTAAGAGTGGCAGTAGGAGGGCTAACATCAAAGTAACGCATATCACACTATGGCTCAGCGTCCCTCTATGGGTAGGATTATCCAGTCACAAACCTATGCATGGGAGGCATATCAATGCTTCAGACTTCTTTAGACTCTCTCTTCAATTTGTACCCTTTTGGACATATTCAAAACCCAGACAAAGGCAATCCATCACTATCAGAATGCCCTACCCACAAGCCACTCTGGCCAGTTGCTGATCATTCTGGTCTTCCTATTCTGTAACACATGTTGAGTGCCAAAATAATTTGGTAAACATTATGGTAAATAAATCTCTTAAGTAGAACTTCAAATCCCTATCCCCCCAATGCTTCTGAGAGGAAAGTTAAAAGCACACACACTTTTAAAAGGAAGTTTGTTTCTAGTTGTAAATGTTTTAGAAATTTTTCTTTTTTTATTTCAGATGATTTCTATATATTAAGCTGAAGTGTTAAACATTTGAAATATTAAAGAATTATTGACAATTATTACAGAATATTTTGGCAAACTTAAGCTTTTGTGCCTACAAAAGAATGGCGTGTTAAAAGGATGGTTTTTCCCTTGACACTGCTATTATTTTAACTACCTTCACTCCTTGGCAATGTTTATCATTTTAAAAAGAGATGTTTAAATTTTTTATAAAACCTAAACATATGATGAAAGTAAATTTATACATATTTTTTTGTTGAGAATTTGCAACAAAAATATTAAACACTACTCATTCATTAGTATTTATTTACAAGAATGATTTTATATTTACAAAATTCTAAAATACAATTAAAACTAATGCAATATTTATCATTTACTAATTTATAAAGAAATAAACATGAAAAGTATTTTTTATTCATAAATTTATAAACATTTAATAAAATATGTGAACCAACTATGGAAATTTTTATTATTTACCATCTTATAAAGTTTGAATCAATTGGCAATTAGTTGACGTTTTGCCAACCAATTCAATATACAATATAATAAATAAATAACAAATAAACAATCTAATAAATAATGTTTGTTATTTTTGTTGTCAATTCTCAAGAAGAAAGAAAATGTATAAATTCATTTCATATGTTTGGGTTTTATTACGATTCTAATCATCCCTTTTTAAAACAATAAACATTGTTGTGAAGTCAATGGCGGGGGGGGAACAACCTTTTTCATACTCTCCATATTTTATTTCCAAGTTTCCCAATATTTTTCTCTCTCTTCTTTTTTTTTTTTTATATGAATATTTAAGTTTAAAATACTAAGAAGACTGATATTTGTAATAGTTTTTTTTACTTTTGATATATAAGAAATATAATCAAATTGATCAGTTAACATCAGAAACTCATTTTCATTTCTACAATAATTGGAAAATCACAAAAAAGAAACGACATATAACCATCAAGAAATAAAATAAGTAGAATAATTAGACTTGTTCTTAAAATTTTCTTTTGTTCAATACAGCTGTACAATCACTTATCCATAATTCTGAAAAATGACTGTAAATAAGTCTTACATTTGTTACACCTGATTGAAAAGAACATTTCAACAATTAATGAATCTTGCTTGATAATCTTCACTAAATTGTATAAATTTAATATCGCATCACAGAAGGTATGTAATTTTTTTTAATTTGAAAACTGAAATTTAAAAAAAAAATTTTTTTTTTTATCTTATCTTTTTTTTTTTATCTGTTTATTTGCAGGACTTTTATGTACTTGTTGTTTCTGGTTGCAGCATATTGGTGCTTGTCATTAGAAAGTTTAACCCCCAATTTAAAAGAAGTCTTTGAATTCAGCAGCTAGAAGAAATTTGTTTCTTTTCAAACATTCAAGTTTTAATTATCATTCACTTAGAGAAAACCTTTTCTTTGTTTTGTTTGTTACATTTAACTTTGGAAAAATACAAGGTAAATTTTTGTTGTGACTAAACGTTTTTTTTTTTTTTTTTTTGTTTTTTTGTTTTGTTTTTTTTGTTAATTGTTGTAGGTGTTCTAAGTATGAACTTCAGCATAAATTCAACAATTTTGATAATTTTTTTTTTTTTATTCATTTTCATTAAATTCAAAACCAGTTGTATTATTGTGTCAAAAATATTGATTTTTTAGTAAAATTCAATTTTGTATAATTTTACTGAATGCAACAATTCTCTGCTCCAAAAGTTTAATAATTTCAAAATTCAAAAATGTTTTTTTTTTTTTTTTGTTTCTGTCAAATTTCTTTTGCACCAACAAAACTGAACATTTAGAAAGTGTTAACATATGATTTTATACATATTTGTTATCAAGATTTTTTTTTTTTTCATTCTGATCTGTTGAAAGAATCCCTGATTTTGTTTTTCATTTTTCCTGTTTTTAGTGAAGAGGAATCCCTGAAAGATGTACATGAAATTAGAGACTTAAAGAAAAATGTAAACAACAACAACAACAATAATAACAATAATAATATGCCTCCAAACCAATCGGACATCATTAATGAAGCTGTAGGTAGAGATAGTTCATACGGATTGCCAGTGTTTCTTCCTGAAAGCAAGTCCCTGGAAATTAAATCTGACTTTTCTGCTTTGCATCTGTCTGATAAAGGATTGCCTTTTAAACATATTCTCGACACAGAATGCGAGTCTATTCACTCTGACTATTCAGAAGTTGTTGGCCCATTGCGAGATCTTGCGGACAACGAAATAGAGATCTTTCATGCAGAAGATCTACAGAAAGATAACCTCACAGAGAAATGCAACACATACTCCATTGGCAATAAAACCCTCAAGCAACAGCCTGATGAAACTGATGAGGAGTTCAAAAAACGTGTGAAGAAGGTAAACTTTTTAAGTTTAGCCCAGGAATTTGCCGAGCTGAAGAAAATTGATGCCGACGTCTTGCCATTTGATCTTCACAAAACTAACTTATGTGACTACAGTCCAATGAGTGAAGAGAGTTCGTTGACTGAATCTGCTATGACAACTCCCATTGAACCTGGGAAAGAGTTGCCATATTCTTACGAGTATGTGAGAGATGAAAATAGTAATGAATTAGATAGTGTTGATTGTTGTGACCCAGAGAGTATAATGGACAACAAGAAAGAGAAGAGCTCCTCTTTAAACCCCAAAGATTTGTCAGAAACAGATTTTAAACTGAGCCCCAAAAGAGGAAAGCAAAACTTGGCTCTTTTGGAAAACAAAACAAAATTTAAGAATACTGGCAAGAGTGAACTCTGTGATGAACAAGAATGTGAAATCTATAACATGGAAAACACAATACCAAAAATGGATTGGGAAACTTTAGAATTACAATTAGCAATGGCAGCAGAAGAAAAACAAAGACTGGTAAGTAGAGTTTCTATGTTTTCCTCTCTTAGAGTTTTCCTTAATGTTCCAACATTGCAGAAAGCCTTCTAAAACTTATTACCTTCTTTCACTCACTACAGAAATTTGTTACAAAGAAAAATAAAATAGAAAACAGATTTTTGCTAATTTTCATCTTAAAATACAAGCATCAAAGGTTTAAAAAAAAAATAAAAAAATATATGGAAAAAAAAAAATACATTTTGTGGATCTCTTTAAAAGGACAGCATGAGTTTTGTTCTTGACAAAAAAACTAAACAAATGAATTCCACTTGAAGAGAAGTACAAATAACAGCTAAGACAATTTCTTGTTTTTTTATGTTCACTAGGAAATTGAAAAAAAAAAAATAACGTATTTAAATTATTAAATCTTTTATAACTTAAAATGGTTAAGAAATGTGGAAAAGTTTATGGCTTGACCAAGAAGACATTGGCAAAATAAATGTTAGGTTAGATTTCAGGAAGTTAGTCAGGCCACAAAGTTCTCGGTATCTTTTCATATGTGTATATTTATAAAAAAAAAAAAAAATTTTTTTTTTTTTTAAATTTTTTTTTACAGTGGGGGTTCATTTTGCACAAGGCCCGAGGGCCACTCAAGGTAGAGGTGTTAAATAATAGTTTCAGACTATTATTTTTTAGTGGCAGTGTATTTGGCTCAGACCTTCTGAGGCTGACCTTGGGGGCAACTACGTCTGATCTCTTTGACAATGTAAAACTCTTTGAAAACATTTTCTAACTCTAACATTCCTACATTCAAAATTCACATCCCTAATTTGTCACCCACAAGGACGCAGAGACGCTTTTGGATTCTACCGAGAGTGGAAAGTGAGGACTGGGCAGCTCCTTCCCAAATATGACAGCAGTACTGCATTTTAGGCTTTGATCTGGTTCTTGTGAAAGTAGAGGATAGCCTGAGGGTTCAGGTACTTACTAGAGCGGTACAGTGAACTGACCATTTTTCCTTCATCTTTAACAATGAATCTTTTGTATGAGTTCCACTTGAAGTCTGGGATGAGTTTAAGGCCCAATAGTTGCTCAAAGCATTGAATGTAACCAGCCAGCTAGATTGGATGAGAGATCAGCTGTCGATCTCTGGTCATCACGAGTTTTGGAGATGCACCAATATATTGTATCATTGGCATAGATATTCATCAAATCGACTTAGATCATTTATATAAAGTAAAAAGAGGGTTGGTCTGAGAAGTGACCCCCTGGGGAATGCCTGCATATGTCCCACATATTGAAATTTCCAGGGGTTTGTTTACATTTTCTTTATTTTTAAGAATAATTCTTGCTGTATGCCTAATTTTGTATATTTATCTTTTTTTTTTTTTTTTAAATAAATGTTTGCTCCTCCCCCTATTGAATCCATAATGCTTAGACTTTATACAATTTATCAGTATTATGTATAGAAAACTATGCACTAAAGTTTTGATCTGTACAGTTAAAATGGTCAGAATATATAGTCCAAATGATGTTTTTGTAAAATGTGTACTTAACAAATATGGTAATTTAAACAGAATAGTAGTAATAATTATATTTTATTTATTTATTTATTTATTTTTATTTATTTTTATTTTTTTCAAGTACAAATCTGATAAAAATGAAGTTTGATTTGTAACTATGTTGTCTAATTACTTCTACATATTTTACTTTGTTTTTTGGTCTTTTTTTTCCCTTATCTACTGTTTCTGTTTGACAACTATATTTCATTATGTATTTTAAGAGATAATATTTCAAGTTATGAAAAACATTAAATATGGAAAAGATATTGGAAGTTGCACCATTTTATATTTTGCTTGCATAATATTAATTTGGTATAACTAGATTTTCCTATCAATTTGGGCATATCTTGTTAGACATCAAATTTCATAATTGTCTTTCGGCTAGTTTAATATTCTAAGCTCACATAGCCTTGTTGATTTCTTTTTGTCAGTATTTTCAATTTGGTAAGAAGAGACTTTATTAATCATTAAGGAGGAGATTATGATGATTTTTTTTTTTTTAGTTTTGGTTATTGAATATTGAACACAATGGACTTGAGTATCTATGTTCAGAGTTTGCACCTTGATTGCTGTTTAATCAGCTGAAAGTGTTAAGAATTAAACCTACAAACACACACCATTTTCAATTTGTATCCTGCTTCCTTACTTCTATGACCATAGTAAACCTACATTATCAAAAATACTGTCCATATAATTTCTATAAACTAACCTCTACCTTTAATATGTGCTCTTAAAATTCTGTTGTTGCTTCCCCATTATTAATAACAATCTTCTGCAGCTTTCCTCTTGTCTCAAAGACAGGTGTTAAGTGTTCCAACCCATGTAGAATGCAAATGTTTAAAATGTTGATTTTTCAAGACAAGTACCTAGACTTCCATCTACTTAGGGAAATTGGTGTAATCTGTATGAAGATTGCTCACCCTGTCATCTAATTGTGTGTTTAGTAATCATCACTTTCTCCTTTGTCTATATTCTGAGAAACTTTTTTTTTTTTTTTTCATTAATGTTCTTAATGCCTTTTATCTGGTTTAATTTCCTCAAGAAATCTCAAGGTTAAATTCTTACCCCCACTCCTAATAAAGCAATAAATAAAAACTACACCCAAACTGTAGACTTATTTTTTCTTCCACTGATATATAAGCAACCTATCATTAACATAAGAGAATATTCATTCTTATATTTCCAATGTTAAATTTATCTTTTCCATGTTTCTTTTTCTGTCCATGATACAAAAGTAAAATGAGTTTTGAATTCATTCCAGAAAACTATTTTAGTTTTAGCAATTATTCCATGTGTGTGTGGAGGGATTTCTTCACAAAAACTCACTCAGATTCAGTCATCTGTTAGTAAAACAGTCAAGATCCTGTTAATAATAATGAGATAATAAATTTGAACTTTGTTTAAAATCTCTTTCTTCTTACCTAAAATGAATTTCTTAAACCAAATGAATGTGATTTAAACTTTGCTTCCTAACAATAGCAATGTACTGATTGTTAATGGAATCTGGATTTTAAGTAACTTCTAGATGCAGTAGGCAAGAATTTTGATTTGCTGAGGTCTGTTAAATTTTGTTCTTATTGTTCCCTTTGATCATCATACACAAGTTTTCTCTTATCTGTGATAGGTTTTGCAATTTTTAGAGGATGCCAGAGACAAGATAGTACAAAGCCCCATATATACTGTTTCTCTCTCTCTCTCACTTACACATACACGTGTGTATGAGAACTTTGAATCCTCATTTTGACATGTTTCATCACTCAGTTGACATCATCAGAAAAATGGATTTAATTTTAAAAATATATATTAGAAAAGCAGAACATGATTTATGTTAATCATATAAATTCTTGATTTTCTTTTTTACTTTAGCTATTTAGTGTGATTTTACTAATTTCAACTCTGTTGAAATTTAATTTTAAAAAAAATGATAGTTCAAATAAAAACTTAATCTTCCATATGATTGTAAATCATATTTTGTCTTGTTAATGTAAATTTTGTTGAAATAAAATCCATTTTTCTGATGATGCCAATAGTGAAGAAACATATCAGAATAAGTTTTGCAGATAGTCTAATATATTTACCATTTCTATGGATTCTCATCCAAACTTTATTCAGATATACAATAAACTTCTGTACATGAAGCAACAGAAGAGATTAACTAATAATAAAACAGCACAATTATGACCATATATTGTATTAGTTATGACTGATAAGATTTGTTTATACCATAGATCTCGATCTCTCTCTCTCTCTCTCTTTTTGTCTTCCCTCTCAGCCCCTTTCTTCATTCTCACTCACACCTTTTGTCTTTCTCAATATGTATTTATCTTTGTTGGCAGAGAAAGTTTGCCAATAAACATTATTTGTTTCCTGGTTGTTGTGTTGGATTAGGATTGTTGTAGATCATTTGCTGGGTGTAAAGATATTTAAGAACCAAAATATATTTATTTGTTTTGATCCTAAATATACATTTATGGTGTACTTGCTAATTAGTTTTCTTGTCATAGTAAAAAAAAAATCTACATTTCTTTAAAATGTAAACTTTTCAAGTGAAAAGTTCTTATTTTTATTTTTTGTTGTTTTAGTCACATTGTAATGACAGAGAAGAGATACGCCGTAAACTGGCCATGGGGGGAGATGAAGAGTATTACACATCAGATCGACTTTACAAAAAACCAAATTTGCCGCCACGTCACCAGGGTGACTTGAACCTGCAGTTGTGTTTTATGAATGATGCAGCAACGATTCCCAACAACAGTGACAGCAGTGGTTCTGACCAAGAATCTGGAATCAAGCATCAAAAACCTCATCTCTCATCCACCCCAAATCTATCAGAGGTAATGAAATGTTTGCTTTTTATTTAATTCTTATCTTTAAATAATGATGCAAATGTTTTTAATCTGAATATCTCTATTTCCAAATTTCTTTTGTTTCTGTTTACAATTTATTAATGAAATGGTGGAAGTGGGTGGGGGTCCTGTACATAATATAGTGTCAAATCAATCCCTGACTTTTTAAAGAGTTATCTGTTCTTTGTCTTTATTTGTAAATGTCCAGTTTGAAACCTGCCCATGTTATTGATTATTGTTGCCGACCGGATGCCTAGGTAGCTAAATTTTGTGATGGTGTCATAAATGAAAAATATCCATTATTTTGGGGCATAATGACCTCCGTTCTTTTAGCAATAATAGATTCATCAACCTGA